AGCATTTTACTTATGTTTGCTTCTTTATCATGAAGGATATAAATGTACAGCCAAATGAAGAGCTTCGTAGGGTAAGATCTGAAAGGGTCCCAAGTGCAGGGGCTTTTGTTACCATGGAATTTTGGGAAATACTGCTTTCCTGGCATGTGAATATATTCAGCCTTAAAGCTTTTCAGATTCCTTCATTTAGGGTTTTTATGGAGGTCCCATTGTACAAGCATGACTGATTAAATCATTGGTAATTGGAGACCAACTCAACCTCTAGCTCCTTTCCACCCTCCCTGGAGATCAGGGATGGGGCTGAAAGTTCCAATTCTCTAATCTTGTCTTGGAATTTCTGATGAACAATTCTCATCCAGAAGCTATCTAGGGCCCTACCAGTCATCCCGTTAACATGCAGTTATGTACTTATCACAGTGGCGAGTCCTTATTCTAAGGACTAAGCCCAAGTGTGATAATTAAAGATGTTCCTAACATTCTTATTACTCAGAAAGTTATCACAATTTTAGGAGGGCAATGTCAGGAATGGGAGAGGCAGAAAAATATATAAGACAAATATATGGCATGTATTTCCTATGTTACAGACAGATAGGGCTCTAGAAAAAGCTTAAAGAGGAAGAAAAGTATGCTTGCTACCTCGCAGTTGACTCTAGCTATGAGCACTGCTTCATTTGCCAATGAACATATCCAAAATCTGATTTTAAAATTTTAGGGCAACATTCTAGAATTTCCTGGTGCAACCAACATTACCCCTCTTCCAAGACACACAGTACCTTGCTTGGTCAGATCAGTTTAAAACATCGTGTCTTACTTTAAACTCCTTTCTCTGGAAATCTGATTCTGAAGTTAAAACCAAGTCTGTAACTCAAAGAACTGAACTATGTATCTTTGAAATGTAGTGCTTTTTATTCACAATAAGGTCAAGGTTTGGGGAAACATGCTCTTGGTTCAAAATAACAGAATTCTTTGAGAGGTAGTTTGGTAGAATTTCAAATTCTTCCTTTTTGGGGTTTTCCTTTCACATGACCTATTTCCCTGGGGAAAATTTGCTCCCTCTTGTATTCCATAACTTTGTATTTTTTCTGGCTACCTTCTCTCCCTAGATTTCATCCTTGGAACTCATTTCCAAGAACGCAAGCATTCCTCAGAGTTCATAGGCAGGTAGATTTATAACAGTTACAGGTAGGTTCAAAGCAAATTTGAAACCCCTGGCTTCTTTCTACTTATCTACTCTGGCATAGCCCTAACTTCCCTGACTATGAGTTAAATCCAAATTTTTAATTTTCAGTTGTGTAAGCTTGAAGTGAACAAGTAATCATACAGGTGGACAACTGTCAACTGTGCATACCTTATTGCAAGTGGCTGGGAAGTTGATACAGGAATTCATGGTCTTCACTACTCATGGTTAAGGCAAAAAGATGGTCCCAGAATGAATGTTTGTACTTCATAGATTTGGGTTTTTTTTCAAAGAAATGTGTTGCATGGAAGCAAGTTTCCAGGTGGTAACTGTCTGAACTGGGCTTTGACACACTTCACTCTGGTACAAATACAGTGTTAGGGACTTTTAGCAGGCAAAACTAAGTTGGAAAGCCAGAGATTTTATGCACCTGGAATTAGGAAAATACCATAAATCACAGAGGGCAGTTACTTCCTTTTGGCTGTTCAGGGTTTCCTTTCTGGCATCAGAACACAGTTTCCCATGAGGGTGAATCCCCAGCCCTACCATCTCATGGTTCAAGTGTTACTGTTTGAAGACAATGTTTTCTCAGGTACTGAGAATTTGACCCAGGGGCTTCACATTGAACTGCATCCTCAAATCTTTTGAATTTTGTTTCTGAGACAGGGTTTTGTAAAGTTCCTGAGTTGCCGAGGCTGAGCTTTAACTGTGATCCTCACACCTCAGGCCCCCAGAGTACTGAGATCATAGGTAGTTGTGCACCACCATACCCAGCTCATTGAAAAATCATTTTAAGGGGTCCTGTTTCTGTACATCTTGTATCAATTTTTGTTCGGAAAAAACAGCGTTGGGTGGTAGAGATAAGATCTTTCGTCAGTCATGGGTAAGTTTGTTAAAGATAAACTCCTCTTCCAGGGTGAAGGGAAGACAAGTTTGCTAGCAGCCCCCTTCTGGGATCGGAGTGTTTTAAACTCAGAATCCTCAGCTGTGATCCACATCAACCCTGTGTGTGTAGTACCTACCTGGGCCACTCTGCATTTTCCTCAAGGGACTTGAGGAATAAGGGATGCCACTGCACATGGTGCCTGCTTTGGCATGAGTGATCTGGTTCTGCTCTCTCCCACAGAAGTCTGGCCATGTATGATACTGTGGCAGGCTTGCTTAGTACACTTGGGATACTGTAGAATCTCAGACCCCTCACAGCTCACGGCGACTCTCTTAGCTTGGTTCCAGGGAAGGGTGTGTGCACCAGACCTCACTAGTATGGGCAGAGCAGATTTCTGGCCGAGGAGTCATGTTGGTATAGTCACTTGACAAAGGTCAGGCCTGTAGGAAGAATCTTCAAGACTTTTGTTGGAGTTATTGGACCACAGATATTGAATAAAAGTACAGGCATCTTTGTCATTCCATAGAAAGAGCTCCTTAAGAGAGAATCCCACACAGAGCAAAGCAGAAGTGAGGAAAGGAGAAAAGAGAAGGGCAGAAAGAGAGGGAGATTGGTTGGAGTTGAAAATGGGATTGATTTCATATAGCAATGTTGATTGAGAGCTTGGATATTGCCCTACCTTTTCCGTTCCGTACTTACATAAGCCAATACATTCACTTTATTTGAGCAAGTCAGTTTGTGTTGGATTTTTGATATTAGCAAGTGAAAAAGTCCTATCAAAGATAGTTGCAAGAGGGAAGAGTGGGCTAAGCCTCTCAGAGACCCCCTATGTGGGCTTATTGTAATGACAAAAGAATTGACTGTGTTATACTTAAACATTAATTTCTCCCTGCCCCTAACTGAGAAGAAGCCCAATTTATTTTTCAAACATGAGAAAGGAAATAGAGTTTTCTATCCAAACTTTCCCTGTGTGTCAACTTTGTACCCTACTCTAAAATACATCTAAGTAATGACTGTTTATTAGGGTATGAAGCTTGATACTTTTTCCCAGGTGGCTCCCCAATCAGTTGTCTGGTTTTTGATGCCCTAGTTATATATATCTATACATCTTATTTCCAAGTATGATGGGAGAATTGTGAATCAAAGCAAATGAGGCAAGATGAGTGCAGGAAGAAAGGCAAAAAGCATGAAAGGAAGTAATGCTTTGGATCTCCTTGAGCTAAACCCAGATTAAGAAGTTAGAAATTTAGGATGGTAGATTTTTTTTTTAATCTAAATCCATCACTCCAAGGTGGTTCTGTGGTTCTGCAGAAAAATGATTAATTTGATGCTAGATTGTCAATGGAATAGTGTTATTGCTGTAACAATAATGCATTAGCAAAGTGCTGGAAATTTAGGGTTACATAGTGAAATCCTGTGACATGAAAAGACTGGCTGATTCTTTCAGGCCAGCTTTGTTTTCAAAGGGAAGAAATTATTTCTGTAGCTTTTAATTTTTGTGTTGTACATGTGTGTGCACACATGTATGTATACTCATGTATATCCATGCACACACATGTATCTGTGTGACAGGCATATATGCATGAACATATGAGCACATGCATGTCTACGTATGCTTTTATATGTGCTTGCATCTAGATATTTATCTTTCTATTTTGGGAGCAGAATCATAATAATCTTCCCAACATTTCACACATAATTGGTGGTATTTTTATTACTAAATGTACTTTTACCTTTCCAGTAATAGTTTCACATGGTTATTAAGAGAAGGAGGATAAAGAGGGAATAAAATTTATCCATCACAGTTGTGGCAGGAAATACTTATAAAAAAAAAAAAAATCAGAAGCAAAAACCAAGTAATTGATTGAGCAAAGAACCAAGGTAAATATTGAGACTTTTATGAAATGGACTTGTGATCCTAGATCCAATTCTTTCTGCAGACTTGTTTCTGACTTATCATCGTACAAACCATGTGTCAGTTTCCTAAAAGGTGTGTCACTCTTCTGAGGTGATTTGCGTGTTACCTGGCCAGGCCTCCGTTTATGATTTAAATATGATGGAGGGCTGGATATTCAATGTAGCAATATTCAAAAGTAGGGCCTAGGGAGGTAAGAGGTAACTGGATCGTGAGGGACCAATCAGTGGAGATGACCATTAGCCCCGTGATGAGTTTGTAGTTGAATAGGCTATTAGGAGGTGGGGCCCAGTTGGAGGAAGTAGGTCCCTGGGATGTGCCTTTGAAGAATATATCTTGTCCCTGGCCCTTTCCCCCCTGTCTAGCTCTTTGTCTTCTACTCTGCTTCTTGGTTGTCCTGAGGTGAGCAGCTTTCCTCCACCATTCCCTTCTATGAAGTTTCTGTCTTGGAGCCAGACAACTATGGACCAAAACCTCTGAAACTCTGAGCTAAAACAAGCTTTTCTTCAAATTGTGTATGCCAGATATTTTGTCCCAGTAATGAAAAAGTAACGTATGTCCTTTTAGCCTTCTGAGTTCCTACCTTTTCACTTGCATTCATGCTTTGCCTGGAATATTGCGTCCTTTCTTTGTGAGCCCTCCATGTCTGTCTCACTGTGACCAGATCTGTCCAGGGCCGAGTTCGTATTTATGGCCTAATGCTCAAAACTACCTCACCCTTTCAGTTAGATATCATGTCTTGCTTTTTCTTTGGCATAAAGGGAGAAAACATATTAAATGATGCTTCTTGTTTTTACTCATACACACATGTACACACACACACACACACACACTACCCTAAGTTACTTTCAAGATCAATTCTGGGAAACATCAGAAGTGAGATAAAGATGTATGAGAACTGCACAGAAGTTGGAGTGCTTTTTTATTTTTTAAAGAGAAATTTTCACTTGAGAGCAAAATTTTAATTGGATGTCTAAACTTTCCAGATAAGCTTTTGTTCACCATTTGTCATGAATTTACAGGGGGAAGGAGAAAAAAAATCAATATTCTACAGTACTTCTTTCATCCCAAGGAAGTTGAAAGACTTCAGCTGCAAAGTGAGGAGATCAGAAGAGAAGCAGATTTATTTAAAAGAAAAACCCATCTTACCAATGTCATTTGGAAGAACAGACCCTTTCTGAAGCAATTTCTGATCTCCTTTCTAAAGGCTATCACTATTAATGGGTGACCATGAAGATGAGAGGCAAGAAGAAGATGGTACAGAGAAAAATGCACACTACAATTTTCTCTTCTCCACAGTTTTTGAGAATGAGATACCAGCTGTAAATGTAGACAATTTGCAAGCATTTAAGCCAGACTTGCTGCCAAATTTCAATGTCTTTGCTAATCAGGACTCAAAGCATCACTCTCTGCTACAATTCCAAACAGCTGGGAAGTGGGAAATAGGGCAGAACTTCCCAAGCCTGGCTTTCACAGACCCTTCCTCGGCATACTTCAGTTTTCTTTGTAGTACAGTGATGTCATTTCATGACTCTTTAAAAAAAACATAATTACATTTTGATGAATATGTTTGAGAATTTCCTGGTTTCTTGTTTGGATACTGTGGTATTACAAGGGAAAAATGTAGCATTTTTTTCCTTAGACATTGCAAGGCACCTGAAAAATACCCCTATAATAGGCAGATTAATGAGAGCAAAGCATAACACATTTTTAAACCACGGTTTTGTGTGATAAGGAAACTTCAGAGATGGAGACTCAAGAGACAGGGAAAGCTACATATTTTTTTTTCATTTAGTTTGGTGAAGAAAGGACAGCTGTGAAGAAATAGGATTGGACCTGATGATAATAAACTGGGAAGAACCTAGCAAGCCTTGCTTATTAAGATATGCTTAGCCTTTGTATAACACCCCTTCCCTATGGATAAAGGGCAGGATTTCTACCACATGAGGGTCTTCAGAAGAGAAGTTCAGAGACACCTTTTCTTCAGCTGAAATAGTATGCCAAACAGGTAGTTTTGGCGCAGCATTTTCTGCATACTACTAGTATTGGATATGAAGTGGTTTTGTTTTGTTCATTAATGGCTACCGCTTTAGTCTAGCAAACCTCATTTTATTCCTTATTAAATCTCACTTCAGGTTTTTAAGTCTGTTATCAAGTTAAAAAGTTCAGCATATATAATTGATATTAATTCATTTTAGTCATCCTCCCTCTTTTTCAGCTTACTGCCCTTCCCAACATCTTGTAGTTGATCATTAGCTGGAGACATCCAATAGCTTTTCTTGGCAAGACTGTGAAAGAGTAACTTCTGCTCTTTGCAGTGTTTTCATCTTTGTGGTTTACTGGCATGTTCAACTCTAACTTACGTATCTTGGCATGATTAATGCTGATGGTACTGACCTTTCAACAATTTCTGTGGAGTGGTGGCTAGTTCTTTGACATTAGAATGTGGACTATTTAATGCATCTGCTCTCAATTTCAAGGAAATCAGGACTTTGCACCTAATATCATCCTTTTATGCTGCCAAAGACTTTTATTGGAAAAGGGAAAAGGGAAAGAATTTGAGAGAAGTAATAAATATTTTCCTCATAATGGCCCACAAAATGGTGACAGGAAGATCACGGATGTGGAATAATTAGATGTTTAATGAGTTTACTTTTTAATCTCAAAACAGTACTGTGGCTGGTACAGACTTTCTAGGTAATAGTTCAAAGAAAGTTCTAAATTGCCGAGCTATTAGAAGGCAATAGTGTGATTTTTCTTATAGAAAAGACTAAATTAGAGAAGACTCTCCTTATCTTGACTTATGCAGTATACAATGTGTGGAAGCATCACATGGTAGCCCATAAATGTGTATAGTTTTTATATGTCAATTAATATAACTATAGAAAAAAATGTAAAGAAAAAGTCTAAAATTGCACAAGCAACCATTGTAGAAACATACACTCAGTTTGTCTCTTGTAGCTCTTGCGGTGCTCTTGTTTCCCTTGCCCTGCCTACATAAAAGTGTAGAATAGGAAAATTGGAATTGTCTTTGAAGTGACCATGAATAGTGGTGGTTGTCAGTATTAAATAGCTATGTTTAAACCTTGAATTTAGGTTGATCTGGAAAAGTGAGTGGCATTAAATCCCTCACTTCTGGAGCACATTGGGCTGAGTAATAGGCACCTAGATATGGTGGGTCACAGCTACACAGAGTAAGCAAATGAATGCTGAGCAACACCACCTGTAGAATTGAATTAATAGGCCTTCTGCCATGGGACTCATACTGTGGGAGACTTTACATTCACCAAGACACATACACATTCTCTGTCTATGCACACACACGCACACACACACACACACACAGGTGTGTGCGTGCCTGCATATCTCATAAACGATACTTGATGCCTCTCTTACTCAAGATGCAGCACTCAGCACTGGCAGCTAAACATCCACACTCATGACTACTAATACTTTTTGGGCCCACATTTTGCCTGATATTCTCAAACAAAAGATGACTACATTTGAATGTCATGAAGATTTGTGGGTTATGCTGTCTGAAAAAAGGACTGCTTTCAAATGTGGGGAGGATTTGAGCATCAAAAGCACTCAGGTAAGACAAAAGACTACATCCTAAAGCCTTGTTCTCGGCATGAGAGTAGTCGTTTATGCCATAAAAGACATGTTAGTGTTCAGTAGGACCAAGGGCCCGTTTCTTGCTTCTCTCCATGGTTCTGAAGTTCCTCACGAATTTAGGGTGCTGTTGGCAAGAGCTGCACACGTTGACTGAAGAACATTTTGAAATATTAACAGTTACTCATTCCCAAGTCACAGATCCATTAACTGAACACCCAGATGTGTGCAATAACAATTAAATTAAGTCATCTTTGATATTTTGCTGACTTTCAGTTACATAAAACCCGTAACTATATGCATTAAAAAGTATAGTTATGAAATGTTTATTAAAGGTAGAGTATAACATATTAACTGTTTGTAGATTTATGTATAAGTTAAAAATACTAAAAATATGATATTTAGGCTTTTATTTGTATTCTTGTCTAAGGGCCTTACAAATATTTCAGTGAGGGGTAATAAAGTATCAGATTATGGTAGTTGCTTCATAAAATTTAACTTCCTCCCCCCTCTTTAAACTATTTGTCTTTCACAGTGCACAATTAGCTAACTATATCTCTGAACTTGTTCATCATTTTATAGAAGTAGAACTATAGGATGATGGCTAAGACTTTTCTAATCTTACATATTCTGTTTCTTTCCCATGGAGCTCAAGACAAATTAGGCAGAACAAAGTGGAATGTGATTCCATCAGTGTTCTGTTTTTAGTTCAACTGGAGCTTTATGAGACTCAATAGCAAACAGGACAGATTTGATACCTTCTACTTTGTATTTAAATATATTTTTCTTTTTTCAGGATGGCTGCAAACTTACTTGGTTAGCAAAATTTGCATTTTTTCCACCACTTGAAGAACATTTCTGTCTTTAACCACAGCAACAGTAACAACAATATTAATCTGACTATAGAGAAATACTTTGCAATTTTATATACTTATGTTTATTTCACCACCTTTTAATAAGTTAGAAAAAAAACTGTAGCTTCTGACATTTTGATTGGTATAGTTGCAAAGGCAATAACAATGTGGAAGGATTTTCAGATCTATTTATTCTTATATTTTATTAACAAACTGAGGCCAGACAGTAATTTTAACCTGGGTTATACATCTCAGAATATCTTATATATTTTTCTTTTTATGGAAATCAAAATATAACTAACTATAGATTTAAGAGAATATTTACTTCATGATAGTTTATTTTTCATTCTGATAAATTAATAGCTAGCTCTCTGGGAAAAGGTAACTTGATGATTAGAGTGTCTAACCTTTAATTTTTCAAAAGTTTTGGGAGCATTGTATTTGTTGTTCATGACAGTAAGTTTGAGATCTGTATCCTTTTACACAAAGAGGGACAATAGGAATACAAGCATTAGGCCAGGAGTTGAGACATCTAGATTCTAGGTTCTACTTTATATAATCATCCTGAGCCTTATCTCATTTGTTTAATAACGTTAATAATATGTATGCCCCGTCTTGTATTTCATGGCTTTGGTGAAGAATAGACTAGATGACAGATGTGAAAGTGCTTTAAAAATCAATTACTACCAAAAGTAAAAGGAATCAGGGCCAAATTTAGTCTGCCACCTTTTTTGTAAATAAAGTTTTATTGGAACACAACAACATCCACAAGGTTATGTATTATCTTTGTTTGAGTAATAGTGACAGAAGCCACATGGTCTACAAAGGTGGAAGTATATGTTATTGTATTCATTTAAGAAAAAGCCTGCTGACTCTTGTTAAAAACCAATTTTTGGTTGGAATTCTCAAATATGAGAAGAAATAAGTATCTATTATACATTTTCAGAGGAACCTTCAGCTGATAAGAGAGCACTTTTCTTTAATGAAGAACAACAGCTAATGAATAAAGAAGTAATAATAGAAAATCTCCACTTTTATAGTCCTATGGAATAATTGGTGCAGGAAAGGATTAGATGTCATTAGACGTTAAAACCTTTCCATAAAGTACTGCTGAGTGCTGAGGGCTGACCAGACCCTTGGATACCTGAAGCGTGAAGTGATAGGGAATAAAGAAAGATGGACAATATTCAAGAGGGAGGAACATGCTTCTGGTGGACAGGCTCAGCAATCTCCGTGGTTGAACCACTTTTATCATTAAGCAAGAAGCACAAGGGTAGGATAGTGTACTTTTCATGGAACAGCAAGGTCAGTAAATGTGTAACTAGTGAATGGAGAACAGGTCCTTCTCTATGCCTGGATGCGCTCATTCTTTGTATTGTCTTCTGGAGATGTCATCTTGCCCCGTGAGTCCTATGTTTGTGTGTTTTCTACACATAGCCAGGAAGCCTATGGTTTTCCATTAACTTCTCTGTTCCTAAAGCAAGTTACATTGGCCTTGGACCCTACAGGACCCAAGTCATGTAGCCTGGTCACCAACAGCTAAGCAGTAATATGCTTCCACTATGTGAAAGCATAATACCACAAATCACTTGCTTATTGTCAAAGGGAAAACATAATCTTTATATGGGAGCAATGGAGTAGTCACTACCTTATCTATGTCGTCAAATTCATCCTCACTAAAAGTGAGACAGTAGATGTGATATGCCTCCGAACATGATGCAAAGTTTTAAGAAATAGTAATTTATGAAATGCTCTTGTCAAAGATTTGGAAGGTGAATTTAATCAAGGTATAGATATAATTTCCAAATAATAAAAGTACTGAGAATACAGGAATCAGAGGAATCAGTTAAATCACACACACACACACACACACACACACACACACACACACATCTAAAACCAAATAGCATGGAGGGCTGTTCTGTTACATCAGGAATGTAATAACCAAATGTAATATCTTCACTGAGTTCAGAATAAAAAAGAAGAGAGCTATAAAAGATATTATAGGCCAGGTAGGGAATTTGAATATTACCTGGATATTGGATATTATTAGAGAAATATTGTGAATTGATAATTAAAATAATGATAATGATCTTGTGGTTATATAAGGTAAAGTTTACTGAGTTAATTTTAGATGCTTGAGACAGACACATAAAATCCCACATGTAAATCATAGTGAAATGTTAGTAGTTGAATTATAGGTACAGATGTTAGAGAGTTCACTGGACTAGTCTTTTAACTTTACTACATTCGATATTTCCAAAATGAAATATGGGGAAACAAATCTAACAAGCGATTTTCTCAGGTGAAGTAAAGAAGTCAAAGTAATTGACATTTAGTAGAAGGAAGACACAAGCTTCTTCGACATTTGACTAATGGTGCTGTACACTATTGGTCTGTCCGGTATGTATAGCTTCTCAGGTACAAGAATAAGACACAAAACATTCTTTTTTCATGGTTTTTTCCCACAGATGTTCATTCCTAATGGTGATTCATCTTCTAGCCAGGGAAGCCACCCAAACAATACTTTTATCTTATTAAATTTCATCTCACTAGTTGCCACCCATCATTCCAGCCTATCAAAATCTTTAGAATTTTGATTGGTTCATTCAATCTGGCAGTTATCTTTTCTGGTCTGTGACACCTGAATGGTTGATGAGCTCATTTTCTATGTCTCCATCCAAGTAGGTAATAAAGATTTTGGATAGCAATCCCTCCCTGTTGCCTACCAGTTGAAGGCAAGCCTCAAAGCTGCCTAGCACCTGCTCCTTTCCAGGCTGCCACAGGCATACTCACCAGTCCTGTTTGGGACCCATGCTTCAGCGAGCTACAAACACAGTCTGTCAGCTTTGCCCCAGAACCCCTTGTGTACCAGCCACTTTGGATCCTGTCTGCTTTAGCACTTCTTCCAGCTGCTGCTGCTGTAACCTGCCCAGCATGGGTGCTTCTGGACTCCACCAGGTGCAGCCTGGACACCCCCTGCCCCCTGTCTGTGAGGGGTCTCTTGCCTTCTGTTCAGAGATACTGTTGTTGACACAGAGGCATGCAACACTGCAGGACCACAATCTTACCAAGGCATGTTCAGCTTGGAAATGTCAGTAATTTCTGCCCTCTGGAGTAAGTCTTTGAAGCCTAAGATGCATACTTTGTCCTTTCCTCACCTAGGCAGATCATCTGAGTTGTATCTGATATGGAGTGAGTTGGCAGCACTCAGTAGCTCTGTGTTGGTTTTACTTTACTATACTACCTGTTTTCTCAGTCCTATTTTCCTCTGACTCAGGTTCTGCCTTCTGGAAACTCATACAAAGACAGACTCCCTCTGTTGTGTCTGCATATCTCTAGTGTGTCATCAAGGATCCAGTGA